CCAAAAGGTCACAGAGTCAGGGATCAATTATAATACGAAATGAACCATACTTACTTACTTGGATACTTCAATGGTTCGTCCTCGCGAATTGTGCGGACCCCAGCACATATGCCATTCGTTTCTTTCTCTCGCAATCGTAGTCCATGGTGGTAGCCTTGTTCGAGCATGGCAGCGTGTGCGAATCTCGTACCGTGATCTGTAAAACATGTAGCTGCGGGTAAAGCTGATTAGCTTTGCTTACGAACACGTCCACTCAACGAGTACATGGTCGTCCTAGGGGACGTTCGCATTCTCTTGGAATCCACTCTACTGTTCTTTTCGTAATCTGTAAACTAAGTGAACCATAACTCAAAAAAATTTTAGTTTTGTTGGCACTTTCTGAGAGCTTTCTAAATTTTTTTAACACTGTTATATTTTTTAGATGAGGCATGTACTTTGCAACAGTTTGTCGCAGTGATGTTCACGGTCTACTTGAAGAAATCACATACCCTAAAAATGCAGACTTTATACGTAAGACGAAATTGTCGGTTATCACAATTGATTTTCTCATTAGGCCAGCAATGTGCTTTCTGCGATAGACGTACTGCAGTTTTATATTCATGAATAACCGATTTCGTATCAGATCTTGTTGAGCATTCTGCTCAGATTTCTTTTCTTATTTTTGATATAGTTGGTTGTTCACTTCGACCAATGTTTGTTTCCCCTTCTCATGGAATGATCTTTATCAGTAACTCTTTATGGCCAGGCTTGCAGAACCCAAATATTTGTGTTCTTTCATTGATAAGCTAACCCAAAATTGGTAAACAACTTTATACGGCCAACGTTTCGTTTTTTTTTTTTCGCTTTAGCGCTCGTCATCTTCCTCAGAGCCGATCATCCGAGTCGGTGTTCGTATTGTGGGAGTGGTGTCTTCATTGTCGTATTGAGTCGAATCTTCTTCAGTGGAGGCCCGCTCCAACGAGGCAACTTCAGATATTTGTAATCGTCGGATTTAAAATTGGGCTTGTCATCCTTCATAGACGTTCGTTAATCACTGAGATCTACTAGAACAAAATAAGCTACCAATTTATTTTCGTAGCGTACATTTCAAGATATTAATTACATCCGTCCAGAAGTTGTTCGGAAGCGGCCGGATTTGCAGATTTTCGACAGTTATCTGTAGATCCACGGAGATAGTATGAGGGATCTCGAGCCGGTTAGTCGCGAAGCTACGTAGCGCGTTCCCAGGTGGTAGATAGGAGGTTAATCGCGTACCAAAAGCGATCGTGCTTCCCTGAGACTCATGTGTACCCAGAGGATGGACTTCCTGTCTCTGCTGCGCAGATTTGGCACATACTTTCTGTATTTACGAAATGTATTGATCCACGCGTGTGTGGGTGTGTTCGAGTTTATGCAGATTGTATTCTACGAGTCAATTCGGCCAAAAAGCCTGCAAACAGGTGACTGGGAAGTATATGGGAGGCAGTTAGGAGTCGCCTCCAATAAATGAGCTTCATGTCCACTCTGGGAGAGCCTGGCAAGCTACCCGTGAGTATTCCCAGCCCCGACGGTCAGAGCACAGCAAGCTATACGTGGGTAACAAAAAGCTAAAAACAGTAAATGAAAAGAACCTCATTCCCCTGATCCAGAAAGAGTCCCCAATCCGGCAGCGTTGGGTAGGACGAGTACGGAGAGGCTGCTAAAATCTCACGGCCAATGGAAGCTACCTGGATCCCGAAGAACTAAGGAGACGATCTGTACCTAAATTGCACGTACACCTGCATCCGAGACCTCGATGGAAGACTTGCTCATGCAAGCAAGGAGGATAAGGTACGACGTTATCGGCCAGGCCGAGACGAGACGACGCCACCCATTTAACGCAGTTTACGGCACCGGAGAAGAACTGTTCCTCGGAACATGCGACAGTAGAGGAGTCGGCGGCGTCGGCGCTATCGTCAACATGAGATTGTCCATGAACATCGATTCATTCGAACAACTTGCAACTCGAGTCGTACGTTTACTATTAAAAAGATGTGGATCAATACCGGCATTGACCGTCTTCGCCGTTTAAGCGCCGACATCAAACTATGACGAAGAAGATTTCGAAGCGTTCCATATAGACATGGAGAAGTTCTACGGAGAAGACCATACATTCTTCAAAGTCATCATTGGAGATTTCAGCGCTAAAATTGGACCAAGAAGAACGTCTGAACAACGTCAAATTGGGATCCATGGATTAGAATGGAACGAACAGGACGAGCACCCCTATGAGTTTATCATGATGACCATGACCATCCACGATAACTCACATTTACAGAAACCCTAGCCTCAACACTGGACGTGGGAGTCTCCGATAGGAGAGTACCATAACGAAACGGATAACCTCATAATAAATCGAAGGTTTTGCCTAACCGAACTCGCTGTTGTTTCAAAAATTCTACACGAGATCGGACCATCGCCTCCTTCGTGCAAGGTTCTATTTTTGCGGAAAGGAGGAAAAACCGCTAAATTCAAAAACCGAACCCCCAGAACCACCGCAAACTGGGATTTATTCAATACATTAGTCGACAGTTGGGAAGATGCCGTTGTCGATAAAATCGACGAAGAATACGATCAGCTCATTCAACATCTTCACGTTAGCGCTATGAAAGCTAAAAGTTCGAAAGTCACCAAGAGACGTCTGTCTCCAGAAATACTCGAGATGATACGCCAGCGTGGATTCGCACGAGCTGCAGGCAACCGCAGACTAACGTCAAAACTTGCAAAACAATGCAGACAGGCGATAAAAGAAGATCCAAGAGAAAGAAGAGCAGCAGCAATGGTTGAAGCTACTGATGCTGGTAAAATCATTCGTAAAGCCTATCGAAGCTTCGCCAATTACAAGACTAGAATGATTGCGCTCCGGCGCCCAGACGGAACAGCTACACCGTCCAGAAAAGCAATGGAAAAAATCTTTCACGAATACTACTCGGATGTCTTCGATAGCCACATCCACCTTCCTTTATATGAAATAAAGGAGTACAGATACGTCGTGCTACCAGTTCTCTCTTCAGAAAGTCTACATGTTATTTCGTCGGTGAAAAATCGATTAGCACCGAGTTTGGACAGGATAGGAGGCGAACACCTGAAGAACCTTCCGCCATTCCTCGTAAACACAAGGGCTCGACTCTTTCCACGTTACCTGTCTGAATGCAAGGTCCTTACTCAATTCGGAAGACCAGCAAGAGCGTGTTATTGTCCAAGAAGTGTGACCTGCACCATATCGGCAACCATCGCCCAATCTGCTTGCTGTCTGTCGTCTACAAACCTTTCATTCAAGCCATCCTAAACAGGATTGACAGAACACTAGACGAAGGACAGCCGTTTAAGCAAGCAGGGTTTCGAAGAGGATTTAGTAAGATGGACCACATCCACACGAGTAACAAGGCTCATTGAAGTATCGCGAGAGTACAAAAGACCACTCTGTCTCAATTTCATCGATTTAAAGAAGGCATTTGACTCAATTGAGATAGAAGCAGTCTCAATTGAGATGGAAGCCTTGATAGTCAAGGAGTCCCTGCTTAGCACATAAAGATTCTTCGTGAGCTGCACAAAAATTTCACAGCCAAGGTATCACCATTCTACAACGATGTTAACATCGACGGCAAAAGAGGAGTTAGGTAAAGCGATACCATTTCGCCAAAATTATTTATCGCCACACTCCTGAACCTTATGCGAACATTGGAATGGGATAATATGTGAGTGAAAATCGATGGTCGGCAGTTAGATCATCTTCGCTCTGCTGATAACGTCGTCTTTACAACACCAAACATTAGCCAGGTGGAACCAATGCTAATCGACTTTGATAAAGCCTATGGAAAGATTGGTTTTCGACTAACTCTCAAAAAAACGATGTTCATAAGGAACAGCGAAGAGGTAGTGAGGAGAACAAAGAACATTTGACTCCGTGCCCACCTTCTCTACTCAACGGCACTTCTTTCGTTAACGTAGGTGTCAGAAACCTGGTTCCTGCGACAACAGAGTGAAAAATCATTCAGCATTATTGAACGCGCTGTCGAAAGGACAATGCCAAGAGTTTGCCGTGTCACGCAAGTAAGCGAAAAGATTTTAAGCTCCGACCTACGTCAACGATCAAGGATCAAAGATGCCGTTCTATACCTCAAACAGTCAAAGATAAGGTGGGCCGGACACGTAATGCGTATGAACGATAACCGATGAGCAGGAGCCCTTAGTGACTGGATTGCTCAGGATGTCAAACGCATTGCAGGGAGAGGTCGGAGTTCTTCACGAAGAGCCTAGAAGAAAGCTCGACGAGTTCCTAAAGCGAGCAGAACCCACTGAGCTACTCTGGCACGCGACGGAAAAAATGGAAGGTTTACTGGCGCCCGCTCGAGTCGCTGGGAGATCAAAAGGTCTGCAGGTGATGCAGGAGATCTGTAGATACACCATTCCGTAAGGTGACAGCGACAAGCTATTATGGTGATGTTACCACTGAAGTGCTTGTTGCTGCATTGTCAAATATTCATAAGTTAGTGTGCAGGTGTCGGATAACACAGTGGTATTGATGCTCGTCATCATAAGCATGGTGCTAGATGGATTCCGCTACGGGCCAGTCTTCCGGAGTTGGGAATTTGGTAGAGGACTTGCCTGGGGAAAAATCGCTCTCTGCAGTCCAATTATGAATGCTCTGGCCCGGCTATCCTAGGGCTCCAGAAAGAGTTGCTCGACCAGCATTCTACGACATTCAAGATGAAATGAGAATCGTCGACCAGAAACTGAAGCCACACATAAAGTTGGAAGATCTTCGTGGGCAACGGATGAGAGGAAACGAATCGAATGAGAAGTGCTGGGTTTCGCACAGTAGACGTGAATACTGGTCAAGGAAAATGAAATAGAATGAAATAAAAAGTTGATGCACAGCTAACTTGTAAATATCATTTTTCACAGCCGTAGTTAACGATACACCATGCTATCACAAATTTTTTTGGTTTTCGATTCCACACTCTTCAAGGACTTTAACTTATTCAGTTCATGGAGGAACCTGTGTCGTTATGTAATCATGTTCGGGAAAATCTTCACAACCTATGTGCACAAACTTCATACTATTTCAACTAATCAGTTAATTGATTTAAAATTCGTCTCTGTTTTAGTCTCCGTTCCTTTTTTAGGCTGAAGAGTACCCCGTCAGATTTTTAGCTTTCCTCCTAGGCGTTCTTTTGTATTGGCGGAAAATGTCGTGCCCTTCTAGCCAGCGTAGTCATCACTGAACCTTTCATTTTGCCTCTGCAAGATGGGAAAGAAAGTGAAATGTGTAGTCGCCTTATCGAAAACTCCAATTGGTTATCAACAACAGCGATCGTACAAGACGCATCCACTTTTTATTAGTCATAAGTGGTTGCTTCTTTTACGCTTGCTGACTTTCTGCTTTACTTCATAATTTCTGATCCTTTGACTTTACTCCCCACTTTTTCTTCCATTATTATTTCAGTAATTGTCCAAGAGAACATTCACCTGGTGATGGGGCTACCTTACAGTAGGGCAATGCGTGGTCCAATTCCTTTACTAACGAACATATTCGGATAGTTCCAACAATTTTTAATTTGACTGAAATCCAGTGCAAACATTCATGACTGTCAAATATCGAAAATCCTTTGTGAACATGACTTCATTACGGCATCAGACTAAAATTCAGATGTGCAACAGCGGTGCGGATGTGTTGAAATGGGATTTGGACGGAACTGTTCTCTCTAAGGACCAAAAACTGTTCTACGAAAAGAACGGCTACTTGGTTATCCGAAATTGTGTTCCCAGCTATGAATTGGATCGCTATAAACGAAGATTCAAGGTTCTCTAAGTATTAATTAACTTAAGTGCCTTGCTATTTACAGGTTTTTAGGAAATCTGTCAAGGCAAAGATATTCCATTAAACATGACTGTAATGAAGGATATAGCCATCGCCAAATCAGAATATGTTGCCGGAGAAAAGGCCATCACAAAAATACAAGATTTCCAAGATGAACCCGTACTGTTCGATTACTGCCGGTATAGAGGAGTGAGTTCTCAGTATCCGTCGAATATATGTCACTTGTATCTTTTCGTGGAGGTGCGTGTAGCGCAGCGTTCTAATATATACATGTGCTTGATCCCGCTGCGCAAGCTCACTAAACCTTCCATGTCTTCGGGGTGGGCAAATTGTTACCAGACCTATCTGGTAGCAACACTCAATCAATACATCGATAGGTTATCACGAGTCATTGCATAGGCCAGATATGAAATCAGTCATCTCTTACGATGCTTTATGAACTCGGATGAATAGCGAATCCCTCAGGGATTGATCAACAATGAGAGCTTTACCCCTCACATTCCATCTCTTCGTGGAAGCTCTGCCGAGAAGATAACTATAGAAACGGACGATGTAGGCGCTTAATTTCGAAGCTTCCTACATATTCGGAATTTTCAAACAAAGCTATGATGAAATAACCATGGCATTAAGGTTTAACTGGCTGAGCAGTGTGATTTTTCCTTCATTTCGTGATGTGTTTGAAAACGAGCGTCTTAGTTGACAACGTTTATTCAATAGAATCTCTAAGCTTACTATTACCTACGCTTCTCAACGACGCCACTTTTTTGCTTTTCTCCCATTTATTTGAAAGATTATGAAGCACTCAAATAACTGACAACAAGAAAAATCCAATGCATGCTAAATACAGAGCACTAAGAAGAAGAAAAACATTGAAGTGTTAATGTTTATGTGGTTGATATTTTTGTATCACCGTATTATGGCATAATATAGGCTCGAAACTTACACTCGAATCAACACTCTCCTGTTGACTTTTATTTTGATTTCCTAGAATATCGTGACGAAAGGGCACGTGTGGCGCAGTAGTTGGAGTTGCCACTGCGACACACACGTGAAATTTATTCCCGCGACCATTTCTCGCCAAGCCTTCCATCCCTCCGGGGTCGGCAAATTGGTACTGGACTTGTCTGGGAGGGTAGCAGCACTGGCTCGATACATCGGTAAGACACCGCGAGTCATTGTAAAGGCCAGATATGCATTCATTCACCTCCAACGATACTTAATGAAGTTGAATGCATAGCGCATCCCTCAGAGGTTGATCAACGCCGAGAGCTTTATCCTTTATCCTTTTATCGTAACGAAAAAAGTCGTACAACTTGCTTTTGTTTGAATTCTCACCGAGCATAAGAAAGCCCTGCTCCCTTTCTTCGATTCTCTCGGTTGATAGCAGATTCGCCACTAATGGTGGTGATATGTGCATTTGAATTTAGCAAATAGCGCGTCAACGTTTAAACAGATAATTTTAAAAATGGCAGCTTTATGTAGGAACATCATTACAACCAGATCCATAATAGACGTTACAGTCTTCTTATTTATTTATATGACCCGTCTTCACACGTTTTTCGTATCTGAACACTTCTCCCATTCGACTCTTTCTCGTGTCCGTTCCTCACGAATGAAGACGTCTAGATTTAATGGGTACATTCGTCTGCTGTTAGAGAATTTTTTCGTTTCCGTCACAAACGTCGCTGAATTCTTTTCGAGTAGGTTTTCACTGCATTATTGGGAAATATGTGCTTAAGTGTTCTCTAGAGTTCGCCACTGGCACTCGGTATCCTTTGTGCGGCTGACTCAGGCAGGCTTGACTCCAATTTTCCTACAACTTAAGAACGGAAGGCTTGGTTGACCTGGAGCGGTATCGAACCCATGACCTTGATAATATTATCAAAATGCACCTCTATGCTACTCGCACTCCATTCAGTTTTCGACGCTGGGTTTGACACATTTTCCGTTAACCCACTAGGCTAGCAGAAATGTAACGAAGATGACAATAGAATATTTCTTTGAGAACTCGCAAAAAGCATGTACGCGAAAAGTTTTCTTTCTTAAAACGAGTTTAACAAATTGCATAAATATTCTTATTACTAATATTCGTTTCCATTAGGAAGCCCAGCTAAGAGTAAACCATTACCAGGATCCTCCACCGTCCTACTATCGAACTAATCGCGTGGTGGAAAATCTCTCTCTGATCCACAAGGGTGGCCACTGCCCGTGGTGGTGAAAGCCTTAAGCAGACTTTGGCCAAGCCGATCTTGAGATCCCAGAGAACCACAATGGCTTAACCAGCAAATCTGCGAAAAATGAAGATTATTCTAGGGCCCGCACAACCAGTGAGCATCAAGTATCGATATTTTAGATTACAAATATACGAAACGCTGTGCTACGAAAGAAAATCTTTTTAATTTTATTTTCTATGGTCCCTCGTTACATCTATTAAGTCTTTCAGAAATAAATGAGCGTTTCTAACCATACGTTTTAAAATTTCATCACTTCCTTCAAACAAAACTTCATTAATCAGAATAATTACCATTTAAATTTACACATTTTTTTCAACGAGGAACAAGGTTATTCATTCTAGCTGCCTAAAATTCTGGAGTTCTTGAAGCGACGAATTCGTTGAAGACATTTGGTGCATTGTAGTGGTTGGTGAAGCATCCCTCATGCAGGAATACTATGCGGATCCCAGCAGTTCTTGCATTTGTTTCGCTGCTTCGTTTTCATTGCCCACAAGGGTCGTTGAACACTTCGTGTGTTAATAACTCGAAAGACCGACTTTCTATAAACCTCGGCATAGATAGTTGATATATTTATTTGTATGATTTTAGAAACTGATCTTCTTAAACTGACGCGAGGTTGGTACAGATCTCCGTTGTCGTTGTCGTTGTTTTTGATGTTATTGATCGATGGATGACGTTTCGGCTACTTCGCCTTCCTCAGAGTCTGGACGTATTTTATACTAGAATATTTTTATTATTCGGTGGAAAAAAGGTTTAAAGTATTAATGAAGATCAAACTTTCAAATAGACGCCATACTGAGCAGAAAGGCCACTCACCGTGATGTTCGGTGCGGAACTGGTCCACGCATTGTTCTCGTGGGGTCGCGAACGAGACACACCCCGAGGTCAAAATATCATTTTCAAATAAGGCGCCAGGTCACGTGTGACAGTAAGGCATTCGTCCTCCCGGTTCATCTTTGGATTTTTGAAATTTATCCAAAACACCACAAGAGTTTTGCGCGTTGATGTTTTTGATTACTGCGCTCAGATCTGTACATTCACTTCAAAATCATCGCCGTTGTGCTTTTTTGCCTTACGCGAGCCTAGAGGAGTGTTTAAACGGATTTTAGCTTTCCCATCCAGATGTTCTTTTATGCGGACACAAAGTGGCCTACCCGTTTCCCCAATATATTCCTCGCCGCATGCATTACATGAAATCAAGTATATTATACCTAAACTCATGCAATCCCCGTCTTTCCAGTTAGGACAGATCATACAGTTTTCTGAGCTGCACAAACGATCATAGAGACGGTTTCGAACTAACTGGCGGCGTATGGTATTGGGTGGGATGTCATTAATCGTTACATAATTTTCAAGACCACTTTTTCTTAAGCACTTTTTAATGGCGTGACTTACTTCATTTGATATGAAGGGTAGGTTAAAAAAACGAAACGAAACGTCAGCCATCGATCAATAACATCAAAAATAACGACGACGAAGTTTTGTACCAACCTCGCGTCAGCTTAGGAAGATCAGTTTATAAGATCACATACATAAATATTTCGTGTGTTGTTTTGCTGCTGCTAGACGATTTCGTCTCTTTCTTTTGAATGTCGTAGAGTTCCAGCTGGGTGGATTCCCCTTGCAGCCATGAAAATAGCCCGGCTACGACGTCTACGTGGATTGGCGGAGAGTCTTGAGGAGGAGTCAAACTAGCAACTTGCTTCCGGAGCGGATCACTAACCCTTGCGTTTCCCCCTCTTTCAGAACCTCTATGAAATTGCGTTTAACGTATTGAAGCTTAAAAAGTAGGAGCGGCTTTCACTGAATGCTTAAAAAGTGAAAAATTAGTGGAAGAGTTGCAGGTGGTTGATGTTGTTATGGACCTTATTGGGACGAAAAAATCGAATCTATTGGCGATGCATACAATGCTTATTAACAAACCACCTGATAGTGGTGAGCTTTTCTACAATCGACTAATCAAATAAATCTCTTCTTTTACTTGTAGAGCAAGGGATTGTTTGAGTGTGTAATGAAAGCGTGAAAGCACTAAAAAGAAGTTCTCTTTCATTTTCGATTCGATAAACAGTAGCGTTTTCTTTAAGGAAAGCTTACATCTCGACATCCAATGCACCAGGATCTACATTACTTCCCATTTCGACCTGCTGATTTCGTTTGTTGTGCATGGACAGCAATGGAATTGGTGAGATGAACCGACTTCTTTTCGTCTTCGTTTGCTTTCTCTCTGCTTTCCTTTCGTGGTGAAAATATGAAAATAGAAGCAAATCAAGTCGTCTTAAAAAGTGTTGTAAAAACATTTAAGGTGAATCGTGATAACGGCTGTTTGGTGGTAGTGCCTGGAACTCACAAGGGCGCGTTGCTGCCGCACGATTACCCGAAATGGGAGGTAAAGTTTATTTGTTCAACCCAGCTCCATCCTCTTTTTATTAATGTTTTCTATGTGACCTTTTCATTAATTTTTTCTTTGTTACTTATATGGTTTTTCATATTTTGCGTACTTATTTATACATCTCTTTGAATCTCAGCACATTTTTACAAGGAGACGGTAGTGGTCAGATTTACTACAGAATTGCGGAAATATGGAGGCTTCTAGGAGGCACAATCTTCTGTTTGTGAGAATGTGGTCGATATTGGTAGTAGTTATGCTGTTAGAAGACTCCTATTTTTTCACTAATGATTTTCTGTCTTCTCGAAAATGAATTCGCATAGAAAGGACGTACTGTGAGCACAAACTCGGCAAACCTGTTGTTATCCTCATTTCTCTTTCCTACTCCAATTTTTTCTATTTTGCATTCATTTTCGTCGGCTTCTCCAATCTTGCATTGAAGTCTCCATCACTATGACCACGGATCTCACTCATTAAGGGATCTCCTACCGGTTAGTCGCGAAACAACGTGGCCCGTCCCCAGGTGGCTGATAGGGGGTTAATCGCGGACCAAAAGCGACCTTTGCTTCTTTGAGACGCAGGTGGATCCAGGGGATGGACTCCCTGTTCCTGCCGCGCTGATTTGGCACATACTTTCTGTATTTGCTAGGCGTGTTCATGCATGCGTGTGTGAGTGCGTTCTCATTTATGCGGATTGTATTCTATGAGTCAAATCGACCAAAACGCTGCAGTCACGTGACAGGGAATTATATGGGAATCGCTAAGGAGTCGCCAGCAACAAATATGCTACGTGTCTACCGCGGGAGACACTGGCAAGCTACCTGTGATATATACTCAGCTTCCACGTGCAGAGCTCAGCAAGCTATTAAATCAAAAAAATATCAATATATCAAAAAGCGAAACACAAACGAATCTCATTCCTCTGGTCATGAGAGAGCCCCCAACTCCGCAGCGCTTGGCAGGACGAGTACGGAAAAGCTGCTAAAATCGAAGGAAAATTCTGAGCTGCCTAGATCGCAAAAAAATAAGGTAACGATCTCCACCTACAATGTTCGCACACTGCGATACGAGTCCTCCATAGAAAGCAAGCAAGAAGGATAAGGTGAGACGTCATCTGACTGGCCGAGACGAGACGACGCCACCCATTCAACGCCGTCAATGGCACCACACCGGGGAGGAACAGCTGCTCGGGGCATGCGACAGTGGAGGAGTCGGCGGTGTCGGCTATCTCGTCAACACAAACTTGTCCGTGAACATTCACTCGAACAATTAACAGCGTGAATCGGACGCTTTCGATTGAAGAGATGTGGATCAATACTGGTTTGACATTCTTCGTCGTTTTACAAATACATCAAACTATGACGAAATAGAAGTCAGAGCGTTCTACATGGGCTTAGAGAAGTTCTACAGAGAAAACCATTCATTTTTCGAAGTCATTACTGGAGATTTTAACGCTGAGATTGAACAAGGGCTTCTGAAGAACATAACATTGGCACCCACGCATTAGAGTGAAACGAGCACAGTACGCGTGCTTATCACGACGACTAAGACCATTTATCGCAAATCGCAATTCCTGAAATTCACTCTCAAAGTCTGGTAAGCGAGTCTCCCAGTGGAGAGCACCAGGAAGAAACAGATCACATCACAGTAAGTCGAAGGTTTTGCTTAACCGATGTCGTTGTTGACCCAAAATTCTACATTCCACTCTATGGACAGGAGCAGTTACTTACCGGATCACTCGAGATATCAAACGTTCTGTAAGAAAGCTTTCGATCCAATGGACGGAGCTTTTCACGAAAACCCTCAAAAAAAGGTATGATCCTCAAGAAGCTTCTAGAGCGAGCGGAGCCCACTAGACTACTCTTCCATACCACAGGGAGAAATGGAGGATTTACTGATGTCGGCGCTCGTCACTCGATGATCATCGGGACGACAGGTGATACAGGTGATGACGCATGCGCGAAAATATGCATATGGAGTGTTGCATGTAGTATTTTTTACACTTGTTGAATTTTAGAGAATGAGCGTTCAAGGTGAAATAAAACGTAATTTGAAATGTGCATTGTCGTCGATTTGCTGTGGATTTATGAATATACGAGAAAAAATTACCAATACTCCAATTGTTTTTGAAAATTAATAAGCTTTTCATTATAAATATCTGATTGAGGCAAACTGCTGAATCTGTGGTTTCAGGGTGGTGTTAACAAAGCTTACCATGGTATCCAGAACTACGATCCCTCGACGCCACGACTGTATGTCGAGATGAACGCCGGCGATACAGTATTCTTTCACCCACTGCTCATTCACGGATCTGGCGCTAACAAAACAGAAGGTGGTGGATCTTCCAAGAAGAAGCTGGAATCCAAACTACAACATTTTTTGTGGGCGTATAAGAGAATGTTTAAAGAATTACGAATTCTTCGCCCTTAATTAAAGCAAAGTTTGGGCATTTGTTCACTTTCCTGGTACAATACTGTCTACTTGGGTACTTGGATGGGCATTCTTAGCGATTACTACGGGCTCTGTCAGGTTTTCATTCATTTCCTTCCCTGCTCAATCGTTGTCAAGGTGGTGGGCGATTGAGGAACATGAAGACGTTCGCAACACGCATTGAGTAGCCCTGAAATCGCTTTCATCTGCGAATGCAGGTGGTTGACGTTACCCACGAAAACAACGGTGGACCAGAAGGACGCATTCTTTCGGACCTTAACTCGATGTTCCTTTCATTCATGTGTCATCCGTTTTTCTCATTGTGTTATTGTCTCCCTGTGCTTCGCTTCAATGTGTGTTCTCCTTGATCCCGGAAATGGAACAGATTTCGAAGATTTGAGACGATTAATCTCTGACAAACGTTCTTTCATATTTGATGAAATTCATAGATGGTATTTCCAACAAAGTTCTCTGCCTGGACATGGTTTGGACGTGGCCAGTGCAGCAAAATCCTTTTCGGAATCGTCTTTGCTCAACCACTTGTGCCTCGCCTAAGATATATCTTCGGTTACTCTTTTTCAGTTGTATATCCGTGCTTATCGTCCCCAACTTTTCTAGAGATTTTTGCTTCTGGCTGTGACGCCATATAACATGGGTTGAGAGATGCACACGTAATTTGTGCTTCCCACCTAGAAGAAAGCTAACGGGGACATTATCGGATTCTGGAGTTATGTTTCTCTTCTCAGATGGTGAAATACCTTTCTGTTTTCAACAAGCGAAGAATTCCATGTCTGAGACAGCTATTTCGATGCGAAAAAGGCTTACGCAATTTCTTCGTTGTCAAGTACATTTAATGGCAAGATGTGATGATAGTTCCACTTTGCTTATTGTGTTGGATAGCAAAACGTTATAGCCACACAGATTCCGACCGCACTTCTATAGATTATATATTTTTGAGCTGCTTTCCGTAGCTTCTTCTGCTGATGGAAGCGCGTTGATACGGCTATTTCCAAGACTAAAAAGAGAAATGACTCGACGGCATTCTGCGATCTTTAAGCAGCACCCGAAACAACATGCGAAATGTGCGAAGACCCTCATGGACGGTGAATGCGAGGAAAAGGAATCCAATGCAAGAACTGCCGGGATTCGTACAATAGACGTGATGGTAGTTTATCATATAATAAAAATGCAAATGTGTATCCTCTTGCAAAGATCTTCCACAACTGGAATTCACTACCATCTGTGTTAGGTGTTTTGCAATTGGGCAAGACTTACGTTTCACTCTCTTTTCGAGAAACTCTTTCGCAGTAACGAGATGGGATCAGAACTTCTTTATTGAAAAACTAAGGTGAGTTCACCACAAATTCCATGTCATTCGACAAGCGGCTTGCAGTCCTTCACTGGATCTTCGTTTATCTGTCAGTTATGTGAAAAGATTTTATTTAGAATATCCTTGTCACGCACGAATTATCCTGTTTCTTTTGACGATTACACGAATTCGTTTGCAGCTTACGGTTCAATCGAGTCTTGACACAGAGAAGGTTGCGAACAAATTCAGTACATAATGATGTGACTATGGATTTGTCAAAGAGAAGCCACTTTATTTTCGTGAGAATATGATCGATCTCCGCATTAGTCGTGTCGTTAGGAAACTCCCATGTCCATAGGCAATCGTCTGCGTTCTCGAAAAATGAATTCCCATGGAAGAAACCTGTTGCGCACAGTAGTCCTACAAGACGTTTTTCTGCCCGAAATGAACCGGTAAACCATTGAGTCATAGAGAGGTGCAAACGCTAGACATTACCAGTGGGATACAGCAAGAGTAAAATATATGAATGTGTCGTTTTCTTGTTCAGCAATAGCGAGGTTTTTAAACAGCATACATTTGCTTCCATAAAAACACAATACAATACAACGCTAGCTGACGTTTCGGCAAATAAAATATATATTTGTTAAGTCGAAAAGTCAATAGAACTTTACGCCGTTTTATTTAAAGGATTCCGAAAAGCGATCTCGTGTCACTACGCGAACGACGATCTCTGCAGGTATATCGACGTGAAAAATTCTACGCAAGAGGTGTGGCAAGGGTAAAATGTGTTCTTTAACCTGTGAAACAGGAAACTTTTCCATAAATCTTATTTTCATTGTTTTTCTTACTTTCACTGTTATCGTTGTTATTACTGATTTTGTCATCAATATGTAATCATTTTTATTTGCTCCCTATTCTTTTTCCTGGGGTCTGACTGCGATGTACAGCTAGGGCTTCATTCCCTGGCAGGGTCTCCCAAGCTGAGAAGGAGTCTGGCGTTTCTGTTGGGAAGCCTAGCTAAGAGTAAACCAATACAAGCACCGCCACCGTTCCGGTACCAAAGTCGCATGGTGGCCAATCTCCCTCTGATCCACAAGGGCTGCGACTGGCTGTGGTGGGTGGTGGAGCCTGGGGTAGACTGGATAGGCTGATCTCGGAATTCTAGGAAACCATAATGGTTTAACCAGCCAATCTCTGAAAAGTGGAAGTTATGCTGGGGCCTGCACAACCAGTGAGGACGACCCATTCATGTATTAAGTAAGTAAGTATTCTTTTTCCTGCCATGGTGTGTTTTAATATAACTACAATAGTGATGACATATTTGTGAAACTCCGAGCTGCAGGTGTTTGACAGTGCCTGTTAAACACGGCTGAGAGAAAGGCAAAACGAAAGACTCGCATGGTGTTGTGGTTAACGCCTTAGCACCCGGAAAGGCTAATAGGGCATTCGTTCACCGTCGGAGACACGCAGTCCGGAGTTCTGCAAATATCTCATCATAATTGTAGTTATATTGTCATTACTATTAGAGCTACAATGGGGATTGCTGTAGGAGTAGGCAGTTACTAATTTGCCTCCTTCATCTATGAACCATTTTATATTTCCATGTTTACACAATATGTCGACCATAACACAAAGAGTAATGACAAATTGTTGAGGTTTCAGGAATTGTCGAAGGAAATTATAGAAATGGCGAGAAATAAAATATTGAAGTACGGCAGCGATGTTAGCGATCTAGAAATGGATTACAGTGTATGAAACCGTTCTAAAAATTTTTCGTCCTTCTTTCTATTTAGAAGAATGGTCAAAAATTTTAGTAAGGATTCTAAAGCCTTGGGGCATTGAAATCCGCTGTTATAGGATATTTGGCGTATGCGTGCTCGTGCAGTGAATGGAACACGATCGAACCTTTGACAAAGCCTGATTTAGACTTCATGTATACACCAATAACTGAGAAATGGTGCCCTACTGTATATTCTATAAACATTATTGTAAAATATCTCTTGTTCCTACATTGCACTACACTATTAGTTACTTCACCCCTTAATCATCAAGTTACTAATCGAGTCATTTGCACTGTTTCTGGTGATAGGATAGCCAATGATAATTCGCCGTCGTAAACAGTGGGATAGGTTTGTTCTTAGCTCTGCTTTCGGACTAGGCTGCAAATCTTCTAACGTGCAGTGATTATGGCATAGAAATGAGCTTTGCTCTGCACATGCAGGACGACATCCCAAGATACCCATGGCTAAGGGGAAAGGTAAAAGGTTTTAAAATAAATGGGCTTGAAAATCACCAACAGTGCTTATATACCTTTACATGTGGATCTTATGGCACTTTAGAAATTGCAGGACGATTGAGATCACAAACTACCTAAAAAGTGTGTTGTGAATATGAAGAGATTATAGGAATGCCATGCAGAACCACTGCGATTCGCATGAGACTGGTCGACCCTTTGAATCATAGGCAAGGACGGAAGAGTGCTAGGGTCTTACTAAATCGGTAAATAAGACACTGAAGTCAACTTGTAGCGAAATTGCAAGTATAACCACAACGTTGCTGAGATATTTGCAAAACTCTGTACCGTAGGTGTCTATGGTGGGGAACGAACGCGCTATTGTCCTTTCCGGGGAGTAACGCGTTCACCACCACACCATACGGGTCCTTTGTTTCGCCTGTCTCTCAGCTATTTCTATCGATCTTTGCCACAGCAATCACCCGTCAGCGGGATTGATCTGAGGAGCCCAAATCGTCATAGAACCCAGTTAAGCTGCGGCCGATAGAAATAGCTGAGAGACAGGCGAAACAAAGGACCCGCATGGTGTGGTGGTGAACGCGTTACTCCCCGGAAAGGACAATAGCGCGTTCGTTCCCCACCATAGACACCTGCTGTCCAGAGTTTTGCAAATATCTCAGCAACGTTGTGGTTGTATTTCGCTTAGTACCCTGCCGCGAAATTATAGTAGGCCGAAAATAAAAAGGTATAACATTGCAAGTATAGTTATCTTCTAAAGCAGTAGATAAGAATAGCGTTTATTGGGCAAACATATAGCTAAAATAGGGAAAGTGGAACTATGTAAGGAGACAAAGAGTATTCTCTATGGTGAAATAAAATAAAACGAATATGAAACGTCGTTGCAAGGAGTTCTCGTTTTGCGAAATCGAAACGGTTACCTAAATATCCATTACATTTCATTGATTACCGGAAATCGCAGTGTTACAATTAGTCAGAGCTACTTATTTAGAATGTTCCTCGTCTTATTAATCCAAAACAGTTTCTTCTCAGATTTTGGCCTTTCAAGCCAAATTACACTTGATGTAACCAAATAACTGTCAGAAAACCTTAGCCCAACTCCTATTTAAACCTTTATGAAGGCATGAAATGTATAGGAGCAGGTTATAACGTTCGTTCTAACTGTTGAATATGAATAAAAACTTTGAAACCGTAACTTTTCGATGCATTTTTTAGATTTTCCGAAATGAGATAAACTTAACTCAAACATTAATTCAGTTAAAAAATTTTCTACCTACCGTCTATTGGAAATATCAGAGTGGTTCAACACTGAATGCACTACATTCAAGTAAAAACTAGATTGTGTGACGATATACGACAACATGAGTCAATGAATGAGTGCTTTCATAATATTAAAACAGTTTTCAAACCGACTACCATTTAGCCTCTGTAGTAGAATAATCCCTCCTAACGATTTACCGCCTCATCGTGGCTGGGAGGTGTTCTTGGGTGTCGGACTGCGATGTACAGCGTGGGGATTCGTGCCCACGGGCAGGGACTCCCAAGCTAAGGAGTTCGGGGTTTCCATCAGGAAGCCTAGCTAAAAGTAAACCAGTACCAAGATCCACCACTGTCCTGGTATCAAACTAGTCGCATGGGGCATTCCCTCTGATCCACATGGGCGACGAATACCTGCGGTGGTGACGACCTGGGACAGACTTCGACCAGGCTATCCTTGGGATTCCAGAGAACCACAATGGGTTAACCAGCAAATCTCCGAAAAGTGGTGATTATGCTAGGGCCCGCGCGACCAGCGTTGTTGCTTGTGATATTTCGGAAGAAGCTAATTGTACCATAGCTACTGCTCTGCTCCTTTTAAGTGGTGATGACGTTTTATTTGTTGCACGAACTTCGTAAAATAATCTGTTTGTAGCATAATATTAAATGAATTTTTACTGTTTGCATGCTGACTTCTATAGAATTTTTTCAGAGCGCGATGGGTAGCGACAAGAGGCAAACTCGTGAGAGATAACAACTGCTGTATTAAATGAACATGTTTTTAGCAACTTAATGAAGACTGCTGTGATAAGACCTTAAGAAGAGCTGATGAGACACTTTCGAGTTTCCACTGGGAAATGCTTGGGTTTTCAGCTTTTCATTTTCAGAATGAGTTCATAATCATGCACTACAGATACAGTTTCCAAAAGAAGCCTCCATGCTTTCGAATTTGATCTATTAGGCATAGAAGGTTAGTGGTTACAAGATTTCTAGTGTTGCAGATTCAAAAAAGAAATGATTTGCGATGAATATGTGGACAACCGTAATACACTCATTTGTACAACACGTCTCCCCTTTGTCTGTCGCGAGACTTGAGCCAGCCCCAGTAAATTCTTCCGTTTCTCCCTGTCACGCACAAGATTAGCCCGGTCGATTCTGCTCGCTCAGGGTTGTCGTTGACAATGATGTTCTCCTACTAAAGTTTCCGTGAAAAACTCTGACTATCAGATCGGTTGTCTTTCTGATGTGCGTTTGACATCTCGAAGAATCCGTCACTAGCGGCTTCTGACCTTTAATTGTTCATCGCACGCATTACGTCTTTCGTCCACTTTATCACCAACAATTTGATGAATAGAACGAAGCCCTTATTAATGATCGCTAACTTCGGTAAAAGATTTGGATACCCTCTCACCTTTTTGCGTGATATAGGATACTTCTAGCATCGTTCTTACTTGTGCGCCTTTTACAACTCAGAGTGACTTTTCATCATGCTTACGTATCATTACGCTATGTATTATGAGGAAGTCTCTGACGCATGCGTTGAGGGAGGGAGAATCATGGAGTCGAAATGGCAGGCACAAAGTCGAGTTTCGCTGTTGAGATCACCGACCTCCCTTACAGAGTGATCACATGGCGGCTACTGGTGAGGCAACGTGGCACATCTCTAGGCGGGAGATAAGGAATTAATTGTCGAAAGAGCAACCTTGTAATTTTCTGGGTCTCATCTGTGGACATATTAATGCATGCTAGCGTGAGTGTATCCTCGCCTTTGCGGGTTCTATTCTTGGAGTCAATTTCGCCTAATGCCTGCAATCGAGTGACATGGAAGTATGTGGGGGTTGGGGTGGGAGGCGGTTAGGAGTTGCCTCCAACAACTGAGCTCCCATTCTTTTCTAGGAGACACTGGTAAGCTGCCCGTGACTATACGCAGCCTTAGTGTTCAAAGCTCAGCAATCTGCACGTGGGTACCACAAGATAAAGGTCATTTTCTTAACCCCAAAAAAGTTCTAGATATTGCAGCTTTGGATAGGTCAAGTACGGAATGGCTCCTGAAATTTTAGAGTCATTTTAAGCTGCATAAATCTCGAAGAATTAAGATAACAATCTTTTCCTGCAATCAACGCTCGCCTGCTTCTGAGTTCTCAATAGATGGATTGCTAATGCAGGCAAAAGATAAGATGCTGTCACGGCGGGTGTTACCGGACTGGTTGAGATGAAAAGTCGCCGTCTATTCAACACCGATATCGGAGAAAAACTCTACTTAAAACATGCAGT